CAGTAGTTATGTGATTTTCTTTACAACCTGATAGTGTGTGGACAAAATATTTAGTTTTATTTATATTAGGCCTGTCAGGTTGACAGCACAGAAAGGGGTGGTAATTTAGGATGGTGGGATTAAAGGATGATCAATGACCAGAAAGTAAGCCCCCAAGTAACTAGAAATAAAGAGAGAGGAGAAAGAAGGACAAGGGTAGGGTGTGGCTGAAAAGTGGTTTTAATAGAAACAAAGAGAAGGGAAGACAGATAGAAGGTACTGACAGGTTAGTAATTAGGCCCTCTGAGTTTGTTAATGGCTTGTAATACCGAAATAATAAGAAAATGCTGCTTTGAATGAAAGGCACTTAGAGTGTGTTTAGAACTACAAAGCTGTAAACACCTATGAAAGAGAAACATTTCAGCTTGGACTCCTATACACTATTTCATTTTAAATTTCTAAAGGTCATTATAATAGACCTGTATCCCTTGTTCCTTAGGAACAATCCCCCCACTTGACACATTTATTAATTTGGGTTTGCCAAACTAATATCCTAAGACAATTTTTTAAATTGCGTTTTCATTATGATAGTAATCTAAATATAAAATCAAGAGGAGCAAACATACAACTGCTATTTCATTTCAGAGCCTGTGTTTGTATTTATGATCTAGCTGTCAATAGCAGTACAGATATAATATGGAAATGATACACCTGAGTATACATCACACTATAAAAATAATCTGTAGTATTTTGAATTGAAAGAAGTGCTAAAGGAATCAATAAGACACAGCACAAAACAGTACAGATGTATTAAAGTCAAAAGAACTTGTGTAATGATGTCAACACCTTGTTAATAATGAGTTGCAACTGTTTTGATAAATCATCAGCATGATGTTAATTTGATGTTATTTTGATGTTAATTTGAATTTTATTGGCTTTATGGTTGTAGTTGTACTTTTTTGATGTTATAGTTGAATAAAAGTCTATGCAGAAGTAATTTATACCTAGATTTGTGAACAACATAGTAAAAATACTTTAAGTCAACCCAGAGCTTAGAGAATTTTTTCTCCTTTAAGTGGAGATTTACATTTTTTCAACATTGAGAAATACAGTACTTGGAAATTCTGTTCCAGAGAATGCTAGTCTTACTCTTTAACAGCTGAAATACACCTACATAGACAGATTCATACCAATTTTCTCTGGGAAGCAATATCAAGTGAAGAGGGAAAGAATTTGGACTTAGTCAAATCCGAGCTAACTACCACAAAACCTCTGGCACAAAATTGTTAATCTCAATTTCCTCAGTAGAAAGTAGCTAATGAGATTATTTCAAAATACAGGAAGGTTACAGGAGATGATCCATATAGCATATGTGTAGCATAGTAAGTGCCCAGTAAGTTTTAGTTGCTATTACTATTTTTATCATTACCATGGCTCTTCTTACAATTTCCACAGGGCTTCAAGAAAACCAGAAGATTAAGTCTTCCACTATGTCTTTTAAACAGCCCTAAAGTAGTTCCAACTTCCCAAAAGGTGAAAGACTAACTTACCAATGAAGTGGGGTGGCACAGCAGAAAGTGCTGGACTGAGAACAGAGTATCTCAAGTTCAAGACCTGGTACAGCCACCTATTAATCATGATTTTAGGGAAAACTCTTTACTTTGCCTAAGTTTGTAGACTCATTTGTAAAATGGAATTCCTAAGCCACAAAGTTCTTACAAAAAACATTAAGTAAATTGAAGAAATATTTCTAATGGCATCCCTTAGATCCTAATAAATGAAAAAAAAATCACACAATAAAATAATTAGGAACAAGGTTTTCCATCTCTCACTGCTGAGCAATCAGGTGTTAAGTTGGTCAAAGAAGACAAGCCAAACAGAAAGTATTAATCAAGTTTTTTACTTATTTCAATAGTGCAATCAGGAGGCCAACACCAGCTCCCCAGTGTTCCATTTTCCCCTGATATAGTCCCCTATGGGCTCAGTGAACACAACAGACAGAGAGCCCTGAAAAAAAGGTTCTGCATTTTTATGGATCCCTCTCATGGGAGTGGTCAAAGTGGAAAAAGTGTCTCAGCAGAGATTCCCAGTAAGGAATCTTGATTTCTTAGGAGGCATCTGGGTTAAGAATGCAGATATACACATAAGGTGCCCAAGGGGACCTTGACTGCAATCCTTTCAGAATACAATGCACTATGTAGTAACTATGGTGTGAGTACGGCAACTTCAACCCATGAGGCCTTCCAGGAAGTCTTGTAATGGTCTAGGTCAGGACTGAAAGATCACACATCGGATTTTGAGCTAGAGCAGATACCTCATGCTGAGGGAAAAAAAGAATATGATCATTCTTTACCTAATATACAATAAGCCTTATTCCAAGAAATTATATAAACTAAAAAAATTAATACATTTATGAGATTTAAAAACAATGAATAATAATGCCACAGCAAGCTACTTAAGAATTGAAAATATTAATTATATTCTTAACTTCCAAGAAACACATCATGTATAGAAACTTCAGTAATTTTCAGATATTATAAAATGTCATTTCTAAGATCATTTATAAGTCAGCTGCCAAGACCTCAAAACCACGTCTTCCATAGTGATGCTTTAAATGGTGATTGAGATGCTAAGCTAATCCATACATGCATTTTAAATACATAATGTGGATGAAAAGAAATCTGTATATTTTAAATGATCTTATAACACTGATAAAAATCATTTTCCAAAACAGCTGAAACACTACCAATCCATACTGCCTAGGGCAACTGGAATCTTACTTCATACAAAAAATATCTGATTAAATAATGATTCTTTTAAAACAATAACACACAACGTCTATCAGCCATCTCTTTGGTATGTCTATAAAGTAATGTTATTAACTAAAAAGTAGCCATACATCAAAATAAGTGTTGACCCCTCAAGTAAGTGACTTTAAGGGATTACTATTTATTCCAATAATAGACATCTTTGAAATTCCATTTTCAAATAATGTCCTTATTGATTCTTTTTCATATCCTCAGTGGAGGCCAACTCTTTGCTTTAGGATCAAAGGAAGATTGAGATCTTCCTTTGTTTTTTAAGAATAAGTTGCTTTTGTTGTCATAAATGTATAGATTTCCAACACATTCATATTCATTGAAATAAAACTTCTAATATATTGTTTTCTTAAACAATCTGAAAACAGTCATACCTCATAAATCAAGTTCACAGAGTACACACTGTACTACCACAAATGATAGTATCCTTTGTGCTAATTCTTTTTTAAGAAACCGAAACTATCTGAGTGTATGAGTTGTTTTCTTTTTAATATAGATAGCAAAAATCAAAAACACACAGAGGAGAAAAGAAACCTTTTATGATTGCAATAAAAAAAAATAATATGAAGTACCCAGGAATAAACTTAGCAAGAAATTTATAGGACTGATGAAAGCTAAACAACTCTACAGAGAGTCATGAAAGATAATTTTATAAATAGGAAGACAGTATATGGGTTTCTGTAGTTGAAGATTCAATATTGTAAAAACTCAAATTCTTGCCAAAACCATCTATAAAATTAATTTTAATCAAAATTCCAAAAATGTTTTTAAGGAACTTTAACAAGTAATTTAGCAGTTCATCTGGAAGAATAAACACGCAAGTGCCAAGAAAATACTGGAGGGAAATGAGTAATGCTGGTTGTAGTAGGGTAGAGTTAGGGTTAAAGGGGTACAAGGGACATGCTTATATTTCTAGAAATTACCAAACACTATAAAGCAAGTATATCTTGGCCATGTTTATAATGCCAGGTTATACAGTCAAAAGAGAGGAACGAAATAAGAAAGTTCAAAAACTAATCAAACTATATTTAAGAATTCTATTTGTGATAAAGTTAGTATTTCAAATCAGTGAGTTAAAGCTGGCCTATTCAAATAAATGTTAAATAAATGGGCTGCCTATTTGAAAAAAATAAGTTATATCCCTACTCTAAGAACAAAACTAATTCCAGATAAATTTTTTAATGTAAAAAGAAACTTAACAGGCCTAGAAAAAATATATATGAATACCTACTAAAAAAGTAGGATAGAAAACACTGTTTTGAACATGATACCATAAAGTATAAAAAGTAAGTAAAAGACATAGACTGCTTATGAAAAACACTGGTGGAAATACCTGTAAAATACTATAGTGTATTAATGTTTATAAGGAATGCTTAAAAAATAATATGACCTGAGTAGAGAATGTTGTGATGCCATCAACAAGTATTCAAAAAAGTAATGCAAATGGCCACTAAACACTTAAAAATGTTCATCTAATAATAAAGACTTTCGGGGATGCTTTTGATTGCAAGTTACAGAAGACTATTCAAGACTATTCAAACTCTTAAATAATAAGAGACAAATATCTCTTGTAACTGGACGTCCATGCGTTTGAAGTTTCAGATATGCATTCATATAGTCATTTCTATAATATCATCAAGAACCCAGATTTCTGCCATTTTTCCATCTTACTCTTCATAGCATCACCTTTATTACAGTTACAAAATGGCTACAGTAGTTCTGGGCATCACATTGACATGGCAACATCCAAAGGAAGAAAAGGACCATCTCCTTCCTATATCTCTTTTTAAGGATAAGGAAATGTTCTCTTAAGCTCCTCTGCAGACTTGTTTTCATATTTTATTGGACAGAATTGGGTCATAAATTATCGCTAAACTAGTATTCTGTTTAGAGAATGGGTTCTGGGTCTCCCTGGTGGTGCAACGGGTTAAGATGCAGCACTATAAAACTCTCCATAGCCAATGCAGCAAGAGTTCGATCCCTGGTCAGGGAGCTACCCACATGGCGCAGCAGACCTCTCCTTCTCACCCGCTGCTTCCCTCAGCAGTGTATTTCAGTCCATCTGCCTGTTGTGTTCCCCACTCTGTCTCTGGTGAATCCTCTCACCCCCCACACACACCTCTGGCCTGTACCCCAGTTCTTGTATGCATATATAAATAAATCTTTAAAAAATAGAGAGAGAGAATGGGTTCCTAGGATTACCTTTGTGCAGAGATGTTGACAAGGGATCCCAGGGACTCTATGGCACTTTAAGGCGACCTGTAAAACATCAGAATTATTTTCACAGTACTAGCAACATGTTATTTGCCTTTTATGTTTTCTTCACTGTGATAACGTTTGCACTAATGGCACACAGGCTGTGGTGGAAAGCACTGCTAGTCCCTTAGTCTGAATCAAGGAAGTGGTATTAAACTGGACTGAAGGTCATGGTCTTCTTCACCAACAATGCATTAGCAGAAGGAAAAGAAAAAGCAGTTTCACTCAAGCATATCTACTGAAGAAATTAAAATGGTGTTCATAGAACATTTTCACTTTGGCATTTTCTCAGAAACAAACATGTAATCCTGTCAGGAAACAACTGATACTATTTATTACCATTGATAAAATTAAAGTTTTTAAGCAGAAATTAGAATTCTGGAAAACCTGTGTTTATTGTGAACTTAACAGTTTTTCAATATTTAAACACTGCTCTGATGAGAATAAGGTATATTTTGTGTAATAAAATACATCAACATTTGGAAGACCTGTAAAACTCAGTGAACCAGTATTTTCCGGATGACCAACACATGCTATCACAAAATCATGCATGGGTAAAAAGACCAATTTAAAGTACAAGACAGACAAATGGATTTTAATGTAAGAGTAGGAAAAGTTCACTGATATGGTTTCAAACATTATATTGCAATTAACCTTTAAGAAACTACCACTTATTGAAATTTGGTGCAGTGTCAAAGGATAATATCCACATATATCTAAAGAGACTATTAAAGTACATCTCTTGTTTCTAAGTACTTATATATATCTGTGTGAAATTAGATTTCCTTCATATGTATCAACCAGACATAATGAAGTAAATATAAGAATATAGTTATCTTCTCTTAGGTTCAATATTAATAGGAGATTTAAACATGTAAAACTTACACTACTCTTCTTACTAATTTTTTTCTTTTGGAAAATGTTTTTTATAAAAATAGTATTATGTTATTATGTACTGGGCTTATTATTGTGATGTTAACAGATAAATGTTTTAAATTTTCCTTAGGTTAACTTCAAATAGAGTAAATACAATTAACTATTAACTATGAACAACATAAACAAAAGTTCCTAGGGGCCTTTATCATTTTTCAGTGTCAAGGGGTCTCGAGACCAAAAATCTTGGAAACCACTCCTTTAGATTAATTTCCTGGAATGAATGGAGAGTGCAAAGTCCATCCATTTATTTTTTTAATAGTGTGACAGCTTGAACACTATCATCTTGACAAAAGCAAAACAATATCTATGATCAGGAGCAAACATCATCATACACTGTGAGGGGAGACTACGCTGACAGACTTCACCTGAGGGAACTTTGGCAAAACATTTGGGAATTTTAAAAAGAAATCTGGTGGAAAATTTCATTTCTATAAATATATCTGAACAATATAATCAGAAGAATATATATTAAGAGTTTGTCACGGCATTTGTTGGTACATTAAACTAAAAACTGCAAATAATTCTAAATGCCTTTAGAAGGTTGACTAAATTATTACATAGCCTTATAAAAATTTTGTAGCCACTTAAAATGTTGCTAAAAACCAAAATTTACTGAAATGAAGCCCATGATTCATTAAGGTAGAGGGGAAAATCAGGTACTATAAAAGAATACCTATGTTATGATCTATTTTTTTGAGTTTCATATATACAGACCAATAAATGTACACATGCAGAGAAAAAGTCCAGAAGAATTTAGAGCAGTTATTTCTGATTGAAATGTTCAAGGAAAATCTTATATTTTCTTCTTAATAGGTCTCAAAATGTTCTTTTTCTTTTTAAGTAAACTCAAATTATCTTCATAATTGGGAAAAAAAAACTAAGTCACTAAGTATATAAATTCAATATAACATTCATAGATAGAAGAATTACACTTGGGAAGGATGGTGGAGAGGACGATGGTATGGGCAGTAATGACCACAACACTAGAAAGGTTTCAAAAGTTTCCTCGTGGTGAATCACCCATTTACATGGAGAAAAAGATGCCATGGAATCTCTAAGGCCTAGTTAAGAGGATCCAGATAGGGTGCTGTGGCCTGCTGGATCCTGGACCCAATACCCTAGCATCAAAAACCAGTGGAAGACTTTTTAAAAGACCTCAAATTTTTAGATCAGGTAAGACAGACAATGCTGAGAAGATGGAAGTAAAGAATTCTGAAAGAGAAAGAAATTATTGGAAAAGATAAAGGAGAAGGTAGAAACAGACAACCCACACAGGATGCCAAATTCCAGTTATTCATAAGCTTTATATTCACCAATTATGGCGAGTGAATAGTATTTGCTACACTGCTGTTGATATTATGGCTGCTTTCATTCCATTTGGTAACTGTGATGTGCCTTTTCATTTGTAGTACTTGCCAGTCATCAGGCAGCAAACACAGAAAGCGCCCATTAGGTCTGCACAGCCTGGTTCCTAGGAAAGCTTGTGCACCCTCTGCTGGTCAGTTCCACACCAAGATAAGGTTTGTGTCCCAAGGAGATGACTTCCCAAATCACAGGAATACACTTTTATGTTCTCTAGTTAATTTCAGTGAAGTTTAGAAACTATTTCCTCAACCTGCCCCCTGAAAGAGATAATTCCAGATCAAAACAGCACCATTTTAATGCCCAAGAAAAATACTGCAAAAATTAAAGTGTTGTGAGAAAATACACCATGAAAGGCATTTTAAATTCAAATGATTTCACCTTAATAAATAAGCAGATGATTACAACTCTTAATATGACTAAAGCTCCATCAGAGTTTTACTCTGCTTGAAAACCTGAAAATCACAATAACAACTATATGTATAGGCTTTTACAAATTATAAAATGCTATCACATTCATTTTCATACTTAATCCTTACAGCAATCCTATAAGCAAGGGAGGAAGGCAGGACAAACATTTATGTTACCAGAATTTTATAGATGTGGAGCTGAGTGGCTTCAAAAAGGTTACATGACTCACCTTGATCATACATCTACAAAAGCCCATGTTCCAAGCAGTCCTCTTGAAATTCCACGTTTTACTCAGTAAACAATTCTACCTGAGTGCTGATCTATAAAGAGTTTTCTAAAGATACAGCATGTATTTTAGGCAGACAAGTAAAAGGTCTAAACATATTTCTGTAATACATTCCATTTGTTTCAAGTATTGCCAAAATTTTAGAACTTGAACCTTAAATCTGAGGTACATGCACTGTAGGCAATGCTATATCCTAAAAGACAAAGTTTAAAAAGTCCTCTTAAAGGGAATCTACTTGAAAACCAAATAAAGATAATTTCGGAATTTCTATGTATCCTGTCTATGCCCACAAAAAGTAGATCCTGGGCCTCCTCAGTGGCACAGTGGGTTGAGTGCAGTTCTGTGAAGCCGTCTGCAGTCTCTGCAGTACGGGTTCAATTCCTGGCCAGCCAGGGAGATAACCACATGGCACAGCAGACCTCTCCTGTCTCGTCCACTGCTCAGCTCAGCAGTGTATTTCAGTCAGTCTGACTGTTCTGTTCCCCGCTCTGTCTCTGGTGAATCCGCTCACCCTCCTGTGCCTCTGTCCTATATCCCAGCTCTTGTATAAATAAACTTTTAAAAAATCTTTAAAAAAAAAATAGATCCTGTCAGGCTTGGTGACTTTGGATCAGGCAGGCAAGTTATACACAAAGTATGACACTGGGGCCAGGAGTCCTTAAGTTCTGATCCTGTTTTTTTTTTTTTTTTTTTTAAGATTTATTTATTTATTTATTTATTAATACAAGCACTGGGTACAGTCAGAAGCGCGGGAGGGTGAGGGAATTCACCAGAGCCAGAGCGGGGAACAGAACAGGCAGATTGATGAAATACACTGTTGAGGGGAGCAGGCATGGCAGGAGAGGTCTGCTGCGCCATGTAGGACACTCGCCGGTGGCTGGGGACCGAACCGGTGCTGCAGAGGCTGCCAGCAGCTTCGCAACCCAGAGCTCAACCGCTGCGCCACCAGGGGAGGCCCTCTGATCCTGTTTTCTCTTGAATTTTTATAATCTTAATGCTTTTCCCCTCATGAACAAAGCATTATGGACATTGCTTTGTTGGAGTGCCAACTGAAAAATCAGTATGCTAAAGGAGAAAAGAGAAATCAGTAAAACTGAGCCCTCAAACTAGAGAGTAGATAGAAACAAAGTATTAATGATAAATAAAGAGTTAAACAATTATATAGTGCTTGTTATGTGCCAGGCATTATTCTAAGTGCTTTATATATATTAAACTAATTTAATTCTCCCAAGAACCCATTTAACAGGTAAGTACATTTAGGCAAAGATAGTTTAAATAATTTTACTTACTTAGGGTAACTAGATTTGAATAGCTAAATGGTGAGGCTGAGCTCTAAACGAGGCAGGCCTGGTACTCAGGTTTATCTTTTTAACCAAATGTTAACTCTACTCAGTGGTATCTATCATGGTCCTGTTGCATTTTTAAAGTAGATTTTAAATTTTATAAATTTTAGATTACAGAAGTTACAGATAGTACAGAGACTTCACATTTGCCTGATGTTGGTTTCCCCTATTATTAAAATCTTATATTGGTATATTTTTTAAATTAATAAGCCGATATTAATACATTAATATAAACTTAAGTCCATACTTTATGCAGATTTCCTTCATTTTTTGCCTAATGTCTTTTCTAGGATGGCATCCAGGGTATTATATTACATTTAGTCATCAAGTATCTTTAGGGTCCTCTTTAGCTCTGACAGTTTCTGAGACTTTATTTTTGAAAGCCTTGACAGTTTTCAGCCGTACTTATCAGTTATCATGCCTTTTTTTTTTTTTTTTTTTTTGGTGGGACCCTCGCCAGCGGCAGGGGAACGAATTGTCGATGCAGAGACTGCGGGCAGCATCGCAGCCCAGCGCTCAACCGCTGCGCCACCAGGGGAGGCCCTATCATGCCATTCTTATCACATCACATTCAGGGTACATGATATGAACATGACTTACCACCATTGATTAACCTTGATCAGTTGCCTAAGACCATGACTGACAGGTTTCTCCACAGTGAAGAT